ATGTTCGTGATTGCAGCCGTTAGCTATACACATTGGTATTAAAGTATTAAGACTGGTATGAATTTTAATAATAACAGTAATACCCCTACGCGTACTGATATCATACGCATATCAAGATTAATACTAATACTAAACTAACCCGAATACGAAGATTAATATCCCTACGACTATTTGTTTTCGTATTTACAGTAACTTGAATCCAAGTCTGAAAGCTTATACTAATATTAAAGCTATTACTGATGTCACACTGAATACACATACTCCTCACACGAATACTCTTAGTAACAGTGATGCTAGAACTAACTTCATTTGTTTATTCATGCTACTGCTAGTTCGAATATGAAACATATTATGAAAGCTAATACAGTTATTAATACAAAGGCCAACATTTATACTGACATCAATATTAACATAAGTATTAATACTCCTACGAATATGAATACGCATACTCTTATGAATGGTAGAAACACATTTCCAAGAAAACCGACACTAAACACCTACATAAAGGCCAAGGCGAATATGCATAATACCAATACTAGTAATACCATGAAAACTCTTACGAATACCAATAACCATGTCCATATTGATATTACAAGTATACGTACCATACCTGCATACACTAATGTCTATAAATATACATGCCATCGTGTATATATAACCCAAATATGTGAACGTATTCATGTACTAAATAGTATTTTTTAACATACTCATACACCGTTATTAATATACTAGTGTATTCGTGTATGAATATACTAATATGCTGATATACCAATACACGAATACTGGAATATACAAGTAAATTGAGATATTAACATATTACCAGACCAACATATTGATTTACATATCGTTTGTTAGGGTGGTACGGATACGCTGCATAATGATCTCACTTGAGTCGTATAGCCTATTCTCGCCCCTAACTTTCCGGATTTCCGAAATTTCCGAAATTTCCAAAATTTCCAAAATTTCCGAAATGTCCGAAATTTCCAAAATTTCCAAAATTTCCAAAATTTCCAAAAATTCAAAAAATTTCCAAAACTTCCAAAATTTCCAAAATGGCCCGACCTAGTGGACAGGATTTTTCCAAAATATATGGGCGGACTTTTTGGAAATTTCGGAAATTTTAGAAATTTTGGGAATTTTTGAAAATTTTGGAAATTTGGGAATTTTTTGGAAATTTCACCGATCAGCTAACAGACCATGCACATCGACTCAGTTGAAAGGGCATGGTCTGTCAACGGGGGGGGCGACCATATATATATATATATATAGACACGCATATACGTGTACATATATATGTATACATATACATGTATGTATATATGTTTATTCTGGTTATTACTATCAGTGTCAATATTATTATTTTTTTGACATTAAAATCGCATTGTTACTCTTATTGTTATTCGTGTTGGTATTGTCGTTGTTAGTGGTAGTGCTGCTATTACGGTTACTCACTCTTGCCCTTACTACCGTGGTTACTATTACGTATTAAATCTGATGGTTTCGACTGTTAGACTCATTATCAATCTACTATTATTGTTGTTCTTCCTCGTATTATCGTATCGCCGCAAAAAGCCCCAAGCAATGTAGCGATAATTGAACATTACAAACCCAAGCTTGCAAACCAAAAGGTACACAGATATCAGACCAGGGAAGAAAACCACGGGGTTGGAAGGTAACGAGAAGTCGTGAAGATGGCCCCTCAACCTAAAAACCCTAACCCCTAGTCGAGCCTCGTCGTACTTGCCCGACAGCACCTGCGGTGCGACGTAGTACGGCGTGCCAGCCTCGCTTGCAGATTTTTTGATGGCCCAGCCGAACAGTATATGCCATATGGGTGTTTCCGAAAATAGGGGTCCCCAATATAGCACCCTAAATAGAAAGATCCTTAAAATCAGGACCCCGAAATAAGGTACCCTAATTTTCGGACACTCCCATATAGGACACAGCAATGCGAACCACTAGAAGCCCAACTACCTTTCACAAAGGCTTCGCACTATCTAGGAAGAGCACCGCTGCAGGCCTGTGATGATCAGAAACTCACGGCCCGACCGTAACCTATAGAGTGACTCAATACTGCTTATGTCATGTACGGACACCAGCCTATTACGTAGGTAAAGTAAGGGCCTTGATAATTGGAATAGGTTTTGGGGGTATACTATACTGTACTTATAATAAGAAGCCCCCAAAAACCTATTCTAAGGAACCCCCAAAAACCTATTCTAAGTACATTAACTGGGCTGCAAGGGACAGCAAGAGAACTGGTCCTAACAAACTACCTACACGCTGCGGTGCTGGCGGAGCCAGGCTTTCACTGACTTAGACTCAGATCTGGGTTTAGGGTTTAGGGTTTAGGGTATGGCGTTTAGGGTATGGGGTTTAGGAGTTAGGGTTTAGGGTATGGGGTTTAGGTTTTAGGGTTTAGGGTTTAGGGTATGGGTTTAGGGTTTCGGGTATGGGGTTTAGGGTTTAGGGTTTAGGGTTTGGGGTTTAGGGTTGAGGGTTTAGCAACCCTAAACTGTAACCCTAAACCCTGAAACTCCCGAGACGCAACCAGACCCTAAACCCTGAACCCTAAACCAAAAGCCCTAGATCCTAAACCCCTAAACCCTAAACCCTGAACCCTAAACCCTGAAACCCCCCCCAGACCCCCAGACGGAACCAGACTCCCGCAGCACATCCGCCTTGGTGGCCAGCATCTGACCCTCCACGAACTTGCAGGAGAGGCCGAAGTCGATGATCTTGAGGCAGTTGTTTTCTATGGGCTCCTGTTTAGGGTGTAAGGGGTTATATAGGGGTTAAGGGCTTAGGGGTTTAGGGGTTTATAGGGGTTTAGGGGTTTAGGGGGTTTAAGGGTTTAGGGTTTAGGGTTTGAGGGTTTAAGGGTTTGGGGTTCAAGACCTATTGTAGGATAGAGTGTTCAGGGACAAAAGGGCTAACAAGGCTTGGGGTTCGGGGTGTAGTAGCT